CCTTTGCAGGGTGTTCAGGCTAAAAGATTCCCACCGGGGGCCGGAGCACCTTTTAAAGGTTCCAGACGAGACCATTGCAGGTGGAAGGGGGTGGGAGTTATGAATGATTTGTACCCCAAGTAATGCTAACATATGACTGTCAGTTATGGTTGTTATTTCTTTTATGTCATGGACTTATTTGACAATGAAGATATTTGGTACTTTAGTGTATTGGGAATTGAGTGATTGTTGGGGCAGACTCTGTATACTTTAAGGTTGGAACTTGCTTCCTGAAAAACAGAATTTGTTTCAGTCTCTTCCTGGGACTTCTAGTTCTGGTTCTTAACATTAAGTTACACATAGAGTTTGCCTCTTCCTATGGCTTTTAGTCAGCTTTTGCTGTGTGATTCTGATGTATCTCCTGATCAAACAAAAGAACATTTAGACATTTCTGGATTTTAGGTTTAATTGTTTGTATTTGGGAACAGGACTTTTTTCACCATTTCAGGTTTTAGACGCTTTCTTCGTCAGCAGATGACCTCCCCTCTGCCTTGGAAAAAACTCCTTCACAAGGCACTGATGGTGCAGGTGAACACAGGAACTTCAATGCCATACAGTACAAATGGGGATGCACATGTTTCTATGTATGCCAGTACTCCAGTGGATCTTCATGTCTCCTTCGGTTCATTTCAGCAAGGCATCGCTCCACTTCAACAATGGCTTCTGCTGTGGCATTGGAGCTATGCCTCTTCTGGTCCACTGTAGTATCTAACAGAGACCTCAGTTCACCTACAAATAATTTAATAATAATAATAATAATAATAATAATAATAATAAATCATTATAGATAACAATACAACACCAACAGGTGAAATACAGTAGTACAAATGTCACAAGAAAATTTCAAAATAGATAAAACCTCACAAGATCTGCTGGTGCCTGTTCCTGCATCTGCTGAATCCTGCAGCTGGACACCTTCATTGCTTGGAATCGGTGCAGAACATTCTGCTTTCAGCCACCGTACTGCCTCCTGTGCCTTGGTTTGACTGAGAAAACCAAGAGTTTTGAACCTAGGGTCAAGCAATGTGGCCATTGTCAGGACACTTAATGATTCAATACTTGCGACTTGTTCTTTGACACACCTCAGTAGGTTTTCAGACAGAAGTTTCGCAACATCATTTGTGATATATGCCGTCTTTGTAAGCACTGCATGGTGTAGCATGTTCATTAAAGGTATAACCTTGGATATTGACACCCTTTTCTCTTCAGAGAGCTCTGAAGTTGATTGAAAGAAATGGGAACAAGACCAGTAAGGATTCCAATTATCTCATAATCCTGAGAAATCAGTGGGATGATATCAGTTTTGAGTGTTGTGAGGGCTGCGGCCACAGGTTCTTTTTGCTGAAACAGATGTCCCAACATAAAGTAAGTGCTGTTCCAGCGTGTGTCCACATTGATTATAAACTTTTTGCGACTGTCTTCCCATCTGTATTTGAATCCCTTCTTGCCTTTCTTTGGTGCTTGAGTGGAAATATGCCACAGTTCTTTTAGCCTTTGCATGGATGACACAGAGGGTAGGGATCTGGTCAAATGATTTTCAGACTAATAAATTCAGTCCATGAGCAATGCAGATTGAGTGCCTGATCTTTAATGCCTTAGCACATGCAATCATGTCATCAGTCACCAGACAGTTCACCTTATCGGTAATTCCCCACTCCTCCATGTGATTATGCACTACCCTGGCCAGATTGTCAGATGTGTGAGTGGAAGGGAAATGTTCCACTCCTATTAATACAATGCCCAGTTTGTCATTGGGATCAATGAAGTGGCATATTATGGCCAGGTACGCCTCCATATTCATGGATGTCCACGTCTGCTGTCAGGCCAACAACAAACACCGTTTGTATGTCTTCTTTGGCCTTTTCTTTCGTTTTGTAGTATTTCTCTTCCAACATCTTTTTTAATGCCTAAAATGAAAAGAAACATTATTCATTTAAATGACCACATTAGCTGTTATCGTTTACACATATAAACCTTTCTAGTAGGAAGAACATGTTGGATCCAGCAAATGGATGAGCTCTCTGAACCCTCATTCTCCCCTACTGAAAAGGGTTGGGAATCCTTTACAGTCAGATTTACCACAGCCTCATCCGGCACGTTTTGTCCTTTTCTATAGTTAAAACAGGTAAAATAAAGAGATATTTAGCCAGCTAAAATAGCTCTTTAGTTTAGCTGTTTGCTTGATACTCTCGGTGGTTAAATAGCTATTTTTAGCTACAGCTATTTAGCTGTAGCTTAAAAGCTAATATTTACTATTTTAGCTGTTTTTAGCTACATAGAGGACAAAAATGGAAGTAAAATTAACCCAAGAATGATCTATATTTATATCCCTCCACTTTCGTTCTCACTCCAACATTTGTTCGATTGTGCCACTGAGCTGCTGTAGCAATGGGACGGTAAAATACCTGTGACTCTGCCAACCTGTCAGCTTCCTGCTGAGGTGTGAAAAGGTAATGCATTCAACGCCTTTCCTCGGAAATACTGCAGTATTTCACACTGTCCTACTGCACAGCATCTGAAAAACAAGGAAGACCACTGGCCAAGTGTTTTAGCACCCCATTAGAGAGGAAGAAACGATTGGCGAATCTCCCTGATGACGCTGCTGTAAGGTGACTCGTCTGTGTAGTTCCCAGGCTGACAGGGACCCAGAGAGCTGGGAGTAAAAAGAAGTAAATGTGAAACATTTATTTCCCACTAGAATCACATCTGCCAGAGGAAATCATCAGGGTGTTTTGACAAATGAGCACTTCACTGTGTAATACACTGAATGCTTGTAGCGTTAAGTGTTTTTGCAAATACAGCTGAAGCCAGATATTTACATTTGTCCCGTCACTCTCTCACCTTAGATCTCATGAAAACTTTCATGTTTTAGACCAGTTAGTATTATCAAAATGATTTGTATTCACTACATTTCTGAATAATGAGAGCAGGGATATTTTAGACTTACAGACACTTACATACTAAATACTTGGTAGAATTTCCTGTAAAACTTTATGACTATAGCATCAAACATGCTGGGTACATGTGTTGTTTGTTGTAATCCTGCATAACATTTTTTGAACAGATGAATGCAGGATGCTCTGACATTGACTTTAATTTATGCAGCTCCAAGGTTCTCTTCCCAAAATCTTAGCAATTTTTTACTTTGATTTTTCATGATTTCACAGCAGGAAGCAATGCGCTTTCGTGTACTGAAGATACTGCAGGCAAGTGTCCAGATTATAATAATATTAATGTAAGTAGACTTCTAAATTTGAGTCAGAAAAATTGAAAAATACTTTTGAAAAATTACTCTTTTGATATTCTGGAAGTTCTGTAAATAGAAATCACTCTGGAAATAGGCCTTTCTCTTCAAACCCAAACACAAAAGAACACATTTTTTTGACCTTTTGCTGACCATTTGTGAGACAAAAAAAAAAGAAATAAAAAAGAAGAATCCTTTTAATGATTAGTGTGTAATCGGAGAACTTTGAAACAACAGTAAAAACATCTTGTCCAACTCGTACTTTCGCACTCAGTTCGGTTTCTCAAGCTGCCTCTGTGACAAACGACGAGCCGTCACGTCCCGAACGTGGCAACCCCTGAACGCCTCTCCAGACAAGGATTGTTAATTCCTGTGTCTAGATTAAAAACACCTGTTGGTAAACAAGACAATTATTCTGTTGAGTCCAATAGGGAGCCGTGCATTAATCATACATGCATCCTGCCGTGTTAAAAGGCAACTTGATATTCCCCCACAGAATTCCCACTGATTAACTTGATACTCCTGACTGTTTAAAATTCATCTCACCGGTGAACAAGAAACTGATCTCCTGTGTATGTGTTCATGTGTGTGTGTGTATGTGCGTATGTTTGTGTGTGCGTGTGTGTGCGTGTGTGTGCATAAACTCAACTGAGTTATTTCCTTGAGATCTCTCAAAAAGTGTATGCATAAAATATCCCGGTCCCTCGGTGTCAGCACAATTAGCCGTTAAATAAAATGCCTGCTCCCCAATGCTTTTGCAACATTTTAATTAGACAAACCAGCCAAAGCGAGAGGCTTTTACTAAAATAAACAGCCCTGTTTGCCAAGAAAAAGCTCCCTGGGGGAACAGGCGCAGAGAAAGGTTGGCTTTCGGGGCAGGAAGTGGAGTGATGGCAACAGTTTAACCAAGAAACTAAAAAGATGTTGGAGGTTTTTCCAGTATATATTTTTTTTATTTCCTCGAAGAACCGGAGTTTTTAGTAAGTTTCAGACATTCTCCACTTGTTATTTTTTTTTGTGTGTGTGTGTTTTTTTTTGCTGCTGCTTCAGTCTGAGGTGTCTCACTTAAAACGGATGTCAAACATCAAAAGGAATCTCTATTTTTAATCAAAGAATTAATAGTTAAAACACAGATTTGTAATGTTTAGATTTAGATATAAAAGCCAAATATGCCTGACTTTTACATTACTAACAATTACCTGGAATAACATTATTTTACCTCCGCGCCAACTGTGCAAAAACCTGGTATCACAATCGACAAGATAAATGCAAACACTTTCTTTATATTGTTACTAAAAGCTAAAGATTTTTGTTTAAAATAAATGATTTAGCTTAGTAACCCTCACTGAGGTTTTTGAATCTCCTTTGTGCAAACCGTTAGTGGAAATGTCCAACTTTGTTAATTGCTCATTTCAGCAAGCAAACGTCTTTCCTCTGTCTTTCCTCCCAGGTTTCTCTCGTCTCCAGTTGTACGTCCGTACGAAGCTTGTCACATCACCGTTTCAATTTCTTTGTCAGCTGTTGCCACTCCCCTGCTCCACAGAGAGCCAGCAGCCTCAACGATTCCTCTCGCCATCCTTCAGGTATGTCCGTGGATCGTTCCCATTTGTCCTCATCTTTGAAGTGACAACTGTCTGACTGTCATACAGTACGTGTAATCACATTGTCAGGCCATTTTCAAACATTGTCAGTCCTTTTAATCCCCTCCGAGGCTTAAATGTTAGAAGGTGGCCGTATTTCCACGAGTGATTATTGGTCCCGGGAAATGGTAAACCAAGGTGCAACATACTTCTAGAGAAATTAAAAGCAAATTATAATTGGTGGGAAAGCAAGGTAGACAACACAGAACCATTTGAAGATCAGTTCCCAAATTTGCCGCCTGAATCAGAAAGACATTCGAAGGACTTTTCTCCATATTTCCCTTTTGTTTGAATAATGATAGAAGAAAAAATCTTCCCTTCAAAGAGCATTTAAACACCAGCAAAGCTGAGAGAGTGAATGGTTTTCCCAGAACAATTGTAAAGCTGGTAATTTGTTACATATCCTAGACCTTTTTTGTTGTTTAGAAGTCTGTTTCTTCTGATGTTCCAGACCTCAAGGCTTTCTCAAGACGCCAGTGAAAAACAGGGAGATGATGTACACTTTATTAGCAAATTCAATTATGAAGCAGAGGATGCCCCAGACCGACTGGTGACTGTAGTATCGATGGCAACACACAGCAGAGACAGATTCTCCTCTCGAAGGTGGCGTTGGGGTCATTGCCCATCTGAACTGTCCCATTTCTGACACCAAATGTTGATGAAGTTTGAGGAGCAGGGATTATAAAAATATCAAACATGGAGAAGAATGTTTGCGGTCCGATAATCTGGAACAAACTTCCAGAAAACTGCTGAAACACTGAGTTTCTTGAAATCAGAGCTAAAACCAAGCGTGTTTAGAGTTGCCTTTGATTCATAACTGGAACATTGATCAACGTATTTGATCAATTTGATTTACTTGATGATTTTTAGTGTGGCATTTGACTAAATCTAATGTTTATGGCTTGTTTCATAATTGGTTATTGTATTATATTTTTATGTGCTACACCATAGGAACAGTTTCAGCCTTGTTGCTGAAATGTGCTTTACAAGAAAACTTCACTTGTAAGCATAGAACAGTGAATTATCTCCCTAAAGTTTTTCTTTAATATTTTTTATTTTATGTTATTCAACTGGTGCGTTTGATCACGGCCTTTCAGGTAACAAGTTAGGATAAGAGACTCTCGTTACTCTCTTAGAAGAAAATAATTTCTACTGTAGACTGAAGAACAATAACACAGGCTGCTGGTGAGAGAGACAGAGAGGCAGGATTACTTCTCTGAAAACAAAGGGTGGGACATCACAGACAATTTTACCACAACAATAAAAAGTCAAAAAATGATCAGATCTCAGAAATAATTGCATTTCATTGTACTGTATTTCCCAGCGTATTGTGCTACTCTCTTTTTCTGGTCTGATCCTTGTTTGGGATGGTTGACCCTTGTGTTACATGTGATCTGATCTGATATCTCTTACCAAGGCAAGTGTAATTTTAAGGGACATTTTGGAAGATAATGTTTATTAGGGGTCATAATCCAATGTGGGCTTATGCTACACTAAATGGTAGAACAGAGAAAATTAATTCAAATCTTAGACTGTCAAAGTGGGGACCAGAATGACAAATATGAGCAGATGCATGGTCAGTACAAACTCATCCCCTAATGGATGACATGGAAACTCATCTATAGTTGTAGGATTTAAATATTAACAGGTTAAAAATTAGTATATTGATATTATTCATTAATGTCAAATTGTGGTAGTCATTTCAGTGTTTATGTATTTATCAAGTCATGGCACTTTTAGCCCTCTGTAACATACAAGCAGGTTAAAGAATTGTGTTTTTGACCATCAAACTCTGATTTAAAAAGTTATTTTTTAAATTAAAGTTGGACATTTGAAGCTATAAATCACATGTTCCTTCATTTTTACAAATAATCTGAACTGATTTGATATATATTTTTGTCAGATTACCTATATATGTAATTTTACAGCTTCACAGACGTTGTCAACTTGTTGGCTCAAAGCTGCACCTTTTTCACCTAATGTCCATTAGGGGGCAGTAGAACCTCAGTATTCAGCCAATGTTGACCCAACAAACATTCCCCCTGGATGTCCTAAAGGTTCATGTTGGCCCCTGAAGGACGAGGAAGAAGGGAAGAATCACTTTTATCTAACCTTGTAATCTATGAAATGAGCGCTTCTCGTCTCTTCTGAGGAAAAAAAACAAACAGGTTTATTGGATAAAACTAATATGCACATTAGTTGTGCAAATCGAAGTGGGAGTATGTGACTTTGGGAAGTGGCTTAGAAAAACTGAATTCTAAGAAAGAACTGTCCGTTTGCTCTCCTTTGCTGAATCTCTGAGCAATATCTTTTGTCTTTGCTGCAGCTATTTACAGTCGCATAATGCTATCTAGATAAACTCTTTTGATGTGCAGCAATCTCAGATCTTTTCTCTCTGTTCTTGACAGCGATGGATTTAGGCACGGCAATCGGGGTGGATTCACATAAAGGGCATTGATTGATTCTTAGATTATCTTTCATGGAGGAAAGTTTAGGTTTCACTCTATAAAAGGGTTTGTTCCAAACGAGCCGCAAAATCGGCAAAATGTTTTTTTTTTCTTCTTTCCATGGTGGAAATTAGCAGCACAGATGGAGTGCGAAGTAAAGTCAGTCAACTTGGTGGCTGCCCAAAGGTTGACGGCCTCTGCAGAAGTTCTTGATTCTTTAAATAAATTTGCTTCTGCTTGGAATAAAAAAAAACCTGAATCATTTTACCAAGGACAGTATTCATGCAAATATATTTGCTTCACCTCCATCATAATTAGAAGGAAGAAGTAGCGAAGACAACACAGAAGACATTTCAAGTTTCGGCCGAAGTGACAGATATTGTTTTTCGATACACTGTGGAAGAGCCAGAGAGAACGAGAGAGAGAGAGAGAGAGAAAGAGAGAGAGATATGGGTGTGTGATAGTTCGTCGGCCCAAACAGAGTCATAAAGTGCTGCATGGTTAAGCCTGATGAATTAATAACGGGGAGGCAGATGGGTCCCAGGGGCCCTGTGGGAGCAGAGCAGCATGGAGAGCAGAGCAAGCACACCATGATATCACAGACGTACACACCCTCACACACTCTTTCTCTCTTTCTGCGTCCGGGGTAAACAGCCAGACACTCATTTGCATCCGTACAAAGTGTCGGAACAAAGACGCACGCATATATGCAGAAGCCGTCCTCAAGGTTAAACCGAATCAAGCTTTTAATTCAAGAATCCAGGACGTTCTGTTGAGGTTTGACCCGGATTGTTTAACTCTTGTGTATTAATGCGGAAAGAAGTGTCAAAAGTGCCAACGCAGGCTCGGTTTGTGAAGTCCAATCTTATCACCGAAGTGTTGGGTGTTATTTTTCTTCTTAATTGTTTTGCGCTTTGCAGCAAACCTCAGAGTGCGGGTTTGGGCTGCTTGAACTTTTCTCTCGGAGAATAGCCGTGTCTGGCGCGTTGCTATAAGCAATCAGCGTCTGAATCGGTTTAATTGCTGAGTTCGATTAAAGTTGCTCGGGGTCAGAATTTATTGTAGGGATTAAAACAGATGATAAAAGTGGGACCATTATTAGGGCGTTCATTTTTCGTGATCTTTTTTTCTCTTTATGACTTTGGGAACTGTTTGTCTGATTTCTTTCACAGTAAAATAGGAACTAATAGCTGCAATGAAGCATCTTCAATATCCCCACTCATACACACACACACACACACACACACACACACACACACACACACACACACACACACACACACGCACACACGCACACACACACACACACACACCAATATCCCAAACTTGGTTCAGCTGAAATGAGAACGATTTCTAATCGACTAAACAAACTTCCAACACTTACATATTCATATTTTCTTTTAGAATAATGAATGTTTCAGAAGTACTTCTTTGCAGCTTTTATGGATTACCTCAGAAAAGTATTTATATCCCATGAAATTTTCAGATTTCTTTCAAGACACTTCTACAAGCTTCCATGTGTTTGATTGGGACTTAATGTGATCAGTTAACACAAAGAAAGAAATGCACAATTATTATTCTTTTGCAATTTACATTTTGTTTTACATATAAAATGGGTGTTTCTTTGCTTTCTCCCCATCCCCACCATCTTTGTAGAGTCACGTTTTACAGCTGAAAGTATTTTGGGGTATTTTTCGACCAGCTTTGGGATGGTACGAAGTAGTGCTATCAAAGTAGTTCAAGCTCAATTAGACTGGATAGAGAGCATCTGTATAATGTAATTTTCAAGTCAGTTTTTTCAATTCGATGTAGACCTGGGCTTTGACTAGGCAGTTCTAACACATACTTATGCTGTCCGTTGTTGCTCTGGCTGTGTATTAAAGCTGTTGTCCTGCTATAGAAGTTGAACCTCTGCTGCAGTGGAGAATTTCGTTCTCTAAGAGGTTTTCATCCATCACTGTGTTGTGTTTCAGTTCAACTTGGTTTAAATGTTATTGAGTTCAAACTCAAAATTGATCCCAACAGAATATTCAGTGTCACAATTAGACCTGCCGTAATACGCAATAAACTGATTCATCGCATGATAAATCAAAACAAGCTTGACTATTTCCATTGTTTTTCTCTTTTCTCTTTCTTTCTACCAAAAACTGGACGACTGCTTCTTTTGAAGGGCCTGTTTGTTTACAGAGACTTCATGACTCATTGCATTTGTTTCTTCTGCTGTTTTGTTTATATATTTTGGATACCTAAAATGTCTTCAATGTTCATTAGAATCGAAACTTTATTGATCTTTGATCATGCGTCCTTGCACTATAATGCCATTGCATTATTTAAAAACAGCCTCAAAACAACAAGACACTGTTTATCGCAATAACCTCTGGGACAATTTATCGTCCAGCAAAATTTGTTAACGTGACAGGCCTAGTTGTCATTTGAACTATATAAGTTTCTTCAAAGAGTCCATTACGGTGATGCCAGTATCTCCTGTAGCAGTTG